AGATTTTGATATGATCTATCTTTTATGTCTAGTTTGCTAGCTGTTTTTAAGAAGGCGGGACATCGTTTTACTCCCGGGGCATTGCGAAGGTGGTTTGACAGTGGCATGTGTTTTACTGATTGCCCGTAACAGATTGCATGGGTAAGCGGGTATGCCGTTTAGCCTCATGATCAGGTCTGCAATCATGTGATTTCCACCTTGTGGCAGTCGATTAGTTTGACAGGTATTACTTCGCAATTCCACAATCCGCTACACAAACCAGGCCTTCCATCCATCCTTTTTCCTCACTCTGACTTTTTAAGAAGCAGAAATTTGGTTGGTCAACAAAAGGCGTGTTCTAGGTGGCCCATCATTTAAAAGTAAAATTTTCCGATTTTGTAGTAGGACCTAAGGCAAACTTTTATTACCTAAAATAGTTAATTAATGGTCAAACAAAATCCACTTTGAAGATGAATGCTCGACCGTAACACTTACAGCTCAAATCCGCCAATCCTATTGGTTGGAATATAATGGCGTTTTGGTATGGAATGAAATGGCTTAAGTTATTTCATGTAGTTGAATTATGGGCCCTTATCTAACAAACCACTACTTTAGGATTATCTAATCTGAAAACTGAGTATTAGATCAAATATCTCCCGACTTCTCCATTACAGTGTAGGCAATGCATACTTCCCATTTGCTCTGTTTGGCAGATAACCTTGTTAGTATTCACAAACTTCTTACAATTTCTTAACAAATTTCTGTCTGAGCGATTGACATCCGAGCTCAAAACAGGCAAATTTGTGAATAAAATCGTCTTCTAGATTAGCACCAGCTAAAAAGTTGAGCTTGAATGCACCACCAGAAATGTTTCTGAGGTATTAATCTACTGCGAATGGAGAAGTCATTAAGCGCTCCTTTCCACTGTGTTTTTGCATCCACATGAATCTCCGGCCATATTAAATTCGTTCCCACAAATTTTTTGACCACTTACTTTTCAAATGATGGTCAATCTGCCTCATTCGCAATGAAACTGGAAGCAGCAAGACTGGAGGTGCCTCTCCTCTGAGCAGTTCTTCACGGAACAAATTATGGGAAATATTCTCCGAGATACTGTAACTAGTATCAAAAGGACGAGCAAATGATTCTGGCAATTCATCACGGCTTTACTACCATAGCAATTTATTTTACGTAAAGTCACGTGACGCAGACTATTTAACTCTGAGCCCACCCCATCGTCAAGTCGACTGTCATTGTGTCTCGCTTGTTTGTCATTCATTCTTGGTACGTTAAAACTTTCATTTTAAATAGGTAATCTTTGTTTCCTCACTGCAGTTGGTGGAGTTAAAATGGATTTGTGGGAAAGTGCAACCGAAAAAAATTAGAAGATGCAACTGTTGAGTTTTCTTGCAATCTGCTTATGGCACAATGGAGGATAGTAAAAGCTTAAGGATCCAGACACACAGATAGAATGATTGAAACCATGGGAAATCAGTCCCAGATCGGAGGGTCACTACCCTTAGATGAAGCGCTCCCCGGAATGGGTGAAATTATTTGACGGAGCATATTACACATCGTTGAATCGCAACCTTTTAGTACGTTCAAGACCGATAATTGTAAAATGATCTTATATTGACCTACGTATGCTGATACAGTGTTGCTAAAACATTTTCGTCAGAGGCTTTTATTCATTTTTACCAAGCACTTACGTGACCTACCAAGCACCACGTGCGCCAGTTTCAAGGTCAAAACTGCTCGGCTAGGTTACAATCCCTCAACTTATTGCTATCACAAACCGACTCGCTACACCCCATCGCTGAACAAGCGCTGTTTGCCGGCGACTTTACGCACATAGCATAGCTTTACAATGGAAGTCATTTTCGAGGTGAATAAATGATGACTTTTTGTGCAATTTAACTTCAGTTTCAGCATTGAAGAATTAAAAGAGGAAATTAGCAAAAGAAATTGACATCGTCAAACCAAACATTTAGCCTTAATTTGGCTGGTTAAAAGAAAAATTAAATCACAGTTGTTGCCAGCAAAATTAGTTTTACATTTATGCGCCTGTTTTAACTTCTCATCGAGCTTACAAATTGCAGGAAGCACACACACTGCCGAGCTGCGATCGATAGTTAGAATCGATTTTCGTTGCCATTAGGCCAATCAGGAGTCAAAACAGATGCCAAGGTTTAGCGCTAACAACGATTTCCATTCTACAAAGTTCCTATATGCATTCAACCGTCAATTTCACTTAGATCGAGGCAGAGTGATAAATCTCCTGGCCGACTGATCTCTTTCAAGTTTACGGTAATTTTACTACCCAAGTTTCAATGCCTTTGACGTTAAAATAAGCAGACTGAATTCGAGGAACGGTTTCGCTGTTGTGTAGACCGGTAGATTTTCCAAAAAGCTTCAGTTCAGCTCAAAAAAACTACTAAAGTGGTGCTGGAGGTATTTCAATTGTAATGTTTTATCGAAATTAAACAATAAGCCCCACCTATTGTCACAAGACGACAATGTATCCTGGAGCGTAAACAGCACATGTTCAACTTTGACTGGGTATAAGGCTTCCTTGGTGTTTTAAACTGTCAAAGTTGATGAAAATGACATTCCAGAGCATTTTCTGCATCGCTTGTGATGCACAACTCGCTTCTTTTTGGACTTTAACTAAACATGATACAAGAAGTATTTTTGCACTTCATAAAGTACTAAACGGCTTTTCACGAGTTAAACTGATTCCTTTTTCAGATTTACCACTCCACACCATTTGCACAATGCGTGGGGATGTAGGCTAACAAATTTAGCATTGACAGGTAAGTAGACTAGGTCGTATTTGTTACAGCAGTTGCTAACCCCCCTGATCATCTCATTGCTGTCATGTCAACTGAGAGACCTCGCGGAACAAAATGTCAAAGTTTAAAGTACATTTCAGCAAAAAATGTATTCGCTCCTTGTCGCCGGGGTAACACAATCAAGAGGGGAGGGGTATATTTCCTCCGTTTTTCATTCATTTCCAAAATCCCCGCTTCTTTTTCTTGCGTGCACACAATCGCTTGTGCAGATGCGTGTGTGTGTGTGTCCACTGCAACGAAATCGCGTTGTTTTGACGACAGCCTCCACGTGCCCCACTTCCTCTTCGACAAATTAATCTACCACTAGCCAATAGCACCGCGTGTAAACGACACGAGTAAACTACTTCGATCGAAAAATCGCAATTTATTCTGGAATGGGAAGTCAATGAGCTAGGGAGAAGGATGAGGAGGAAGGCTTTACTGTCATTTGCGTCAGATTGCGAATCGTAGAGACGCTAGCTGACAATGTTTACTAGCTCACCTGCATTGCGTCAACACTCGCCTCCGTCACCAATGTCTGCATATACTCGCACCGACAGATGTCCAGGTGCCATTCAAGTAGATCATGCGGGCTGGTGACGCACATAAATTGAGAGAAATGCTTTTTCAGCACAACGCGGAGCCGAGGGCTGTTATATGGCACTGAGAGATGCGTCATTACCAATGCCAGCGTTCGGTTGGAGATGAAAAAAGCATCAAGGGGAGTTAGTCACCCGACTTCTATAATTTAGGTCAGGTTGGCGTTGGAATGACAAATGGATGTGTCAGGGCAGCTAGATGCTCATAAACTCCGGCCTGAAGCAACATCCGATGCCCCTTTGAATAGGGTGAACAAGACGAGTCAATGTGATCACTCACACGGATGAGTGAAATAAATGCGTAGATAAACTACAAATTTAGGAACGATTCTTTAAACCAAATGTCTCAGTGCACCAACGCCAACTTCAATGGCAAGGAAGTCTCAGTTAGTAATCGGGGAGACTGTTCTAGTAATCAACCTGGCAACAATGTGGTGGTGAATAGGCCGCAAACCACTAATGAAGGAATCGCGGCTAGCCAACAACGGTTTCGGGAATTCTGCTCTGAGTGATGGTTTTGGTCTTGAGGACCGAGGTTGGGGGTCAGCGTGGCAGCAGATTCATTCAAATCCTAGATTAGGGGTGAATCGGGAGCCACTGTTACACTTTTCAAACTATTCGAGGTCAGAGAGACTGGATGGACTTCAATGCCTCAGCATTGGACTTCTAAGAGCTGTCAGGATTGAAGCGACTTCGGGACTATCTGGATTGAGTGCTGGATAAAAATTAAGCTATCATTGTTATCGCAGTGACCCGACTTCCGGCTGCTACTATGGTCTATCGCTTCGTGCGATTACACAAGACAACCGCAAGACAGTAGGAACAGCACAACACAGGCTGTTTCACAAGGACAACACGCGGCCCAGCACTGTGGCTTCCCGCGCTGTATCATACAAGCAACTTGGACACATCCAAGTCGTCCTTATAAAGGGCTGAAACGGTGGCGATTTGAGACTCCAACAAATGCCCGAATCGAGCAACCCAGATAAGCGACTGGATGTGATTAAAACTGCAGCTCAACCTTTGGTTAGTTGCTGCTAGAGCCCCCTAGGCATAAATACCAAGTGATTTACCACACTGTAGAGGTCGTGACAGTTGAACCCACTACAGGCTACGCCGTTTCCTGTTTTTCAATGCTCCTCACCCACTGTTGTAGTAGTCAAAACAGAAGTGACCTCTAGGCTGACTAAGACTGAAACCGCCAGACAACCCACCAGAGTTCACTGACCTTTAACAGTCGCCACTACCATGAAAGACACCTCTCAGTCAACGTATGGTACAAGTGGGACCGTCCAGATGGTTCAGTGATAGAAAAACTCAATTCCTCTCAAATGTATACACATATTCACAAAAGCAAGCATAGCAAGCTGGTAGAGGCATTTGGGAGAAGGTAAATTCACAAAAAGGGATAAATATTCATAAGGGTGCTTTTAGGCTAGCTAAATGGAACGGGCGCTTCTTTAGCAGCGATTGCATTGCAAAGTTTGTCTCTTCATTTGTGGCGAGCTATAAAAAAACCTACTACACTTGTTTGCTTTGTTTTCTTTCTTTTTCACCAAGTGTTTTGCATACCGGAGTGGCACCTCTTCCCTCACAAGTCAATGTCAAAAGGCCCTTCGTCACCTGAAGGGGAAAAAAAGTCGGGTAAAAGAACGAGCTCGCCAGCCTCCCACAACTAGGCCTTCATATTAATGGCATAATCCTCTTAACCTTTCGGCTCTTCTCTACGTTGACAGTGCGAGTACTTCTAAACAATTATTTCTCCTAACGACTTCAAATCTAACTCAGACGCCGCAGTGGTGGCAACGTTGGCAAGCCCACTTCAAAGGGGCAATGATGACAATTTCGTTGACTACATAACATTACCCAGCCTCCATCTTCGAAAAACGGATACACCGTAGTGGAAAGTCATCGCATTACCGTTTCCTGGTTTGCAGAAGAGAAAACTACGTATATACGCAAGCGTTTTCAGGACCACATGAGTCGGGTCTCCACCTTTGTGGCATGGAACACCATTCATGCAGCCCAAGCTACCAGTCTCCCAGACATTCCAACAGTTAATAATGGTTATTTTCAGACATGGACACCATAGAACGCCTTTAGGGGCGACTCTGGCGCTACAATCTGTTGATACTTTTTTTAAATACAGACAGGTCATAATGGACCAGTGCCAGCACCACATGACAGGGTAACAGGACCCCGGAAATATCAATACAATCCAAAACGCCGACGAACAAATAAATGTGGGCAGGGTGACGGTCCTGTGCACACCGGAATGAGTCACAAAGACACCCCTACTCCGTCAAATCAGAGCGAGGAGAACGTAAGGCATAAAAAAGGGCTAAAAAAATGCCAGACTGTCACGATGGTAAAAGCAAAAAAGATCAACCGGAAGGGCCTAGAAGACATAAGGCCATCATCGTCGCCAATTCGCAATGGTGTCATGCCCTCTCGTCAGAGTGCATAAAGGCACGCGCCAGAAGGCAAAAGTGACACGAAAAGTGCACACAAGAACAACGAGCGTGGCACTCTCAGCTCAAAAAATGACTTCAGTGTAAGCATTCTAGAGAAAGCGAATATCTCTAGTATTCTCAATATGACACGTTTTTCGTCCTCTGACAAGGATCAGCGCTGCCTTCCTGTTGTTCCTCTGTGACTTTCAAAAAGCTGCTTCATTTTCGTTGGAGTGGACGAGTAACTCATTCACATTGCTGGGTTTTTTAAACAGCAAAGCGGACAGCATTATTCCTACCAAATCGGTGCATTTCAGCACAGTGGGAAGTGGAAGATGATCTACCTCTTCAAGTACAGATCTCACACTCCAATTCAGAAGTGATCTCGTTCAATAAGGCCAATATGTCTGTCGAGGCGTGAACCAAGGTCAGCGGGCTAATAGAAAAATACAAAGTCGTATCAAACATTCACTGTTTTCCTGGGCACAAAACCAATCTATTAAACGGGTTAACTCTTGTTTATCCGACAGATTGGAAGACTTCTAGGTTCGCAAACATACTAGCGCTGGTATGCGCGTCTGAACAGCCAGCTTTATTAACTGAGTCTTCTAAGAAGTAAACAGACATTACACTTCACCCACCAAGAAATGTAAAAGCCTATCTATTTTTATCAAAGGATAAACGAGTCTTTTATATCTTATATGAAATGACAGTCAACCTAGGTGTATTTGCATCTTAATACGATAAAATCGCGTTTTTGCGGAAAATATGCGAACAACCGCATGACTGTTAATGCTTCACACGAACAGGATGAGTTGAAAACGAAAATTGAGAGAGGAGCCAGAGTGCCACGCTGACCGAGTTTTGCTGCCAAGGGGAAACAAGGGATGAAGAGACTGATTCACTTTCTACCAGATCGACAGCTTACCGAATTCCTTCGCTTTTTCCTCAAACAGCAAATCCGTTAAACTGCCACCCTAACAGCCTTACACACATTGCAGGCCTCCGACTCAAGATGATACAAATACCGATTGTGGCCGAGAGAAATAAGGAACTGGACGCGCATTAAGGAGGCATTTGATAAGACAGAAAGCAGATCACTGATTGCCAATGCTTGAACCAATTCAGTTCACACAGACGTGTCTCAAAAATGGCAAATTTGCAAAAGTGCATCGCACAATGACGTTAGAGCAGAAAACACTCAAGATATCGACTATCTCTGCCTCTGAAGTACCACTTCAGAACATCACAAGTGGAAGTAGGAAACTGGAGGCGTTTTTACGTAAAGTGGACACTTAAAAGCACAAAAACGTGAAAAAACACCGACTTTTGAGGAAGTCTCAAACAACCCCAATGGAGGCAAGACAAGGGGTACCAACTTCAAGTGCATAAAACGCCCAAAAAGCCCGAAATGCTGAGTACGCATTTGAATTAAAATGATGGAAAAGTTGGCTCACTTTTTTGTACACTAGCATGTTCCTGATGAGTATTCTTTGTGGGCTTTTGGGCAGTCGCAGCGGGAAGATGGCACTCGCCAGCGCATGTGGCCGGACAGGTGATCCCTGGTCGACATACCATGTCGGTGGGCGGTGAACGTGCAATCGGTGAATTTTTGCACATCAGCATCGTGTCACGATCGTAGAAGATTCGAGTGCCCCCTGGCGTGGTGCTGAATATGCTCCCACCTGGAGTTGTACTATTGAAGGAATAAGGGAGTTGGACTCAACTTCGAGGGATAAAGTAAAACGGAATAAATGGAACAAGTAGGAGTACACGAGACCCAATAGCAAAGGCGTGATGGCACGAAGACTAAAGCTAACCTACCTCAATTTACTCGATGGTACAAATCCGGGAGCAAGGTTTGCATTTCAGCTTATTGAAAAGGCTTATTAAAGTGTGCAGATCAACACAAGTAATTATGCTGTTTAACAGATGGGAGCTAAACGAGATAAGAAGGGCGAGGTAGGTACTAACTACGAGTTATTTTGCTTTTACTAAGACGCTGCATAAAAACCAAGGGAAAACCTTTTGGCATTAAACTTACCTGTACTCATTAGGAATCTGAGAAGGATCAGTAACTTTCAATCTTCGGAAGGGGATACCATCAGGACCGCGATTGGCTGCCATTTACGAGTCTAGTTGAAATGCAGAAGACAAAACACTGCAGAGGGCTAGGAGGTACCAAACTGACCGCCAGCGATCTAGCGGGTAGAGCGGCTGCTTATTCTGGTTAGGTGACAAGGTCACAAGTCGGTGTTGGTTTTACATGCATGGTAAGATTTGTTTTAATACGCAATATCAAAATGACTTTATGAAGCAGGGACTTCAATATTTACTATTTTAAAATATTCATTATATAAACAGCAAAGTTTTGAAAGTCATGCTTTGCTAAGCTGAACTGCCAATAAATAGTATAGTGATCAACCTTATATTTTGGAGCAAAACAACGATTAAAATATACACAGTTGTATTTTAGCTCCTTAATAGTTTTCCGTTAAATATGCGCATAATTGAAGGAAAAATAACTAAACAACTGCGACGTGTTTCGTGTTTCTTATTTGACTGCAAATCCATGAGCAGGTAACTTTATGCTCAATTTCCTGAACTACAAAACAAATCATTTTTTAAATAAGCTCCACAATTTTTAACGAAATTGTTGTTTTCTACTATTTGGTTGTCAATTTTTGGGTATTTTACGCGTATTCAAATAAAGGCGTCCTCATCCTTACGAAACTAGTAACTGGAGTAACCTAAAAGGGCAATTACGTGAGTGAATCAAGAATGAACCGCATATTCTGTATAAATAGCAGAATGGTTACATTGTGTTGATATTTATTTACTATCATGAGTCTAAACAGCTAGGATTAGTGCTAAATATGCCCGAAATTTGATTCAAACTTACCAACTGTCACGCACTGTTAAATGCCTCGTGATGAATAAATTTTGCCCGTTAACATTACAAATCTATATAGTCAGTGCATCTATTACATCTCCATGAGAGGCGTCTGTTGGCATCCCTTAAACGATTTCGTCAAGATGTGCTTCCAAGATGGAGCTGATTGCAGATATACACATGAAAGCCGAAGTTTCAAAAGTGTAGGTTCTTACGAACCCCTCAAGGCTCAGTCTTTACACTCAGTACATTGCACCAACTAAAAGAATATGCTGGTTGCTGCGCAAATACTTGCACCCCACTCAGACTATTTGCCCGGCCATTGGTTGTGTTCAAAGGGCGGAGCGGAGATGTTCGGAAACCAGGACTTTGGATGCGGTTGGAAAATGTCGCTAATTCCTGCCAGAGCCTCAGAATATCTCACTTTCGTGGATGTCGGTATTTTGGGTGCTCCTTATGCTGCTCTACCCGGGAAGATATGCTGCTTTTTGAGCTTGCCAAGGAGGCACCTGCTTAGATGCAAATCCCTTTGGTCAGTTTGAGGAATAATTAACTTATTACCCCATTATAATTAGCAAAGTTGTTCGTGAGATAGAACCACTCACATATAAGAGGAGGTAATCGTTTGACATGACATGCCAATCATGATGTTGTATTGAAAATACGACTAAGCACTCGCTCGAGAATGTAGGAGTTGAGGGAAAGCAACCAAACGAAAGGGAGTTAGATGGGTCTTCACGACGTAGGAAGAAAGTGGACGCTCACAAAAACCGTAAATTGGAGGTGGAAATATTTTAAAAATAAATAATTATAGGCGCGGAATACTGTCAAGAGTGTTTTAAGGAAATTAGTCATTTCCTTCGACGTAGCTTTGAATATTGTCCACAAAGAACCGCGATGACATTGACGAATTTTGTGACCACGCCATGTGCGTCATGAATGCCCTAAAGTGGTTTAAGACGAAAAATTAACAATTAGTTTAAAATCAGACATGCTGAATTAATAATGACATATATACATTTTGAAGAAAACACGAAGGCTACCAAATGTCTATACAATGCAACACCCCTTGTTCGGTTCAAAATCCAGTTGATCAAAAATCTATACGTTATTAGCGCCCCAATTTGGTCATATTTTTAATTTTAAACAAGGAAAGTAGAAGAATTTAAGACAAAACGTTTTCTCTGTATTATAAGTGGAGCGGAAACCTGATTAAAATGATTGCATTCTGACAATAATGTTTGATAGAAATTAAGTGAAAAATTGCTTGACTTATTTCAAATAATTAAAAAGAATGGGGCTTAATTGATTTGCGCAACTATTGGCTACTCTAACGCTCATTGGAGGTTACGTTTGTATGGCAGATTCCTTGAATGCATTGTAAGGTGTTGATGGTTCGTTTAACACTTTCGTTCGGGTAACGGGCTACCGAGGGGCTCCACTATTGTACCTTCGCTTAGGGGCTGGCCTCTGGGCCATGGCAGTAGTCCCGAGCCCTACGGCGACCGAATATATATATTCTGTCCAAGTATTATGCCTTCTTTCGCATATGTCAACTAGTGATACTCCCTCCACCTCCCTATTGTCTGGATAGAACCCAGATTGATATAGGTGGCCAGCTCTGAAACGTGAAAATGGCGCCAAGCAGGAATAGACGCGAATACCTGCCCCTACGGAACCATATTTAATCCCGTCCCTTCTCACATGACCCCGCTTTCAGGCCAGTGTTCCCTACGACTAACTATGGATGCTCTTGATGGTCAGCGCATTCTCCCGCCCGCCCCCTGCCCCACCCAACTGATTCCTCAAATAGAACGAAACTCCAGACCCAGTAGAATTGTCAAGAGGGGTCGGTGACGTTGCGGTCAGGTATCTTCTCAATTGCATGAAAAATAGATGACTAGCATGATTGGCTCACGGGTGATTTTCTAACAGCACTGATTATATTGTGATGGCCGACGCGGGAAGTTGACCAAGGGCGGGGGACTCTGAGGACAACGTTCAAAAGGGAAGAGGCTATGCAATTCGCTTGTTGTTTTTAGCTCTCGCTTTTGATGACGGGGCCAATTAAATTTTCTGCCATAGTACCTTCGCTAGGTGGGTTAGCCTTCAGCTATTCCGGTACCTTCGTATGCCTAATATATATATACTGCCCGAGTACAATGTATTCCTCCGGCTCCAGGGAAGTCTAGAAAGGCTACAAGTAATTCCGTAGATTATAAGGCGTTTGGTTCATTGTGCCTGTAAAGAAGAGTTAGTTATCTGGTCAATCATGTAATGCCTAGACAGCTAGAAAGGCCTCCAAAATCAAGTTATTTTACAGAAAATGGAAAATACCTACTTGCGCTTATGTGTGGGTTTAGCACGGATGCGAAAAATTGCCGCCTTAGCTGCTTTAACAGACCTGATCAAGGCAGCAGTGGACAATGGGGGAACAGAAAAATTGTCAGACTGTCAATTGCTCACCGAGTTTTCCTTTCTCCGTCACAATGAATAGACCTTTACGCACACTTACTCTCGGTGTGCTGCGTCAGTGGGCATGGCCAAGTGGCAACCGTTTTTCAACCTTTATTGCGCTTTTTCACTTGACTTCCAAATTACCCACTTCTATAAAAACGTGCATGGAAGAACCGCCTGCATAAGAGGGTTATAGCACAGAGAATCAGGAATGCCAATTTTGGTTAAACTGCGGTGTGGCACAAGTGGGCTGGATTGGATAGCATCAAATATCGGGTAGCCTCAACCACTTTCGTATTGAGAACGAGAGTTGAGCAATTTATCATTCTCCTCTTCTACTTTTCTTTTCAATTAATATCAGTTATCTCGTGTGGATACGACTAGGCCTTAACGTTCAAGAAATCCATTTAGACCGTGTTTACTTGATACCTGCCGTTTCTCTGGTATTTTGAGGGAGTTAAAGTGGTCGTCCGCCGCTTTTAAGTAGTATATACCCTAATTCAGTCTAGTATGACGTTATCCAAACTTACATTTCATTATGACAAGCCACGATTAACGCCCATCTTTAGATGAGTCTTTATTATAAAATTCTTCCAGAACTGCGTGTAATTCAGTCAAAAGATCCACCTTATTAGGAATTACTGCACCAGAGACCGATCAGGATAGTTGGTGAACTTAAGAGTCGATATATTTAAGCATTTTTTTGTATTTCTAAGGCCATTTTGACCCTGATCACATGGATTAGCTATGTGTCAAGTGAGAGCCTAGGGCAGAAATGAGCAAATGTGGGAAAGATGGATGTACCTCTCACGAATAATGCATAAAAGTTGTCAGTGGGATTTGACACACTTAGCAGTTCAACAATAATAAAAATGCCCTCAAAACGTGTTGGCGAGATGAAAACCCAAAACAAATATCGAATGTGCCCATTAGTTGAGCTCTACTGTCCTGGAAACGATTCGTCCGAAAAAGAAAAAAAATAAGAGGTGTTTCTAAATTCCACATCACCACCTCAATGCAACACTCCCCGAATTTTGGCCTGATCGAGCGCTGTCAAGGCTACTAATATGTCACAAAGTGTGAATTGTCACCAAATTTCATCGCCATTTTCACCTTTACATTTTCTTGACCGTGTTGGACTGTTTCCACTACTTTGTCGGGTGACCAAGAGTTTGTTTTGTATATAGTATCTATAGAGGTTGCATAGAGATCGTTTAGACAATTTGATTGCGGTGCTTCTTGTTCAGGATCTTACGGTAGGCCAATTCAAAAGTGACATGCTACTATAAATTAGTTGATTGTCACCAGCATAAATTGAAAGGGAAAGGCCATGGAAGCAAATCAAATGGATGTTAAATGTCATACACTAATGGGTGAAAATTGGTTTGACAAACCATCTATTTGGTGTTCACTTCTTTGTCATTGAACAGTATCAGTGGACAACCGGAGACTTCGGAGTGAATGCTGACAACTTTTTAGGACTTGCGAATTACGAATGAATTAAATCAAATGCGTTCATGCAAGATCTTCTCGTTGTTTAAATAAGTAAAATAGTATGATCTTAAGCATGCTTGTCCTACTTTTCTAATATTTACAAACAGAAAAGAAGGGACTGACCAGCGAAGCCATGGATTGAATCTGTACCACGGGATTTTCTCATGAACTTCTGGGGCAAGGTTTGGGGTGGGACTGATAATAATAATCTCTTCAGAGTTCAACATCACCGTATTTTCTGCTTTACTTGACTGACGCATTTTGACCTTTTTAGGTATCTTACAAAGCCTACTAAATTCTCACCCTATTAATTTAAAATTTGCTAAAATTGTCTAACCTAGCATGCTGGGAATCCCACTTGGTGTTGCATTTACCAGCGCAATGCAAATATGCTAAAGGAACTTTATTTATAATACACTCTGGCCTTCACGTACACGGACACAATATTTTCTATAAGTAGCTCTACAACATTATTGCACTTCTCCATGCATCCACCAAAAGCTCATGGAGGCAAAAAACTAAGTAAAGTGAGGGTTTGCGATACCGAAAAGTATCCCTACTGAGGCAAATGTCCCATTATGCCTAAAGGATTATGCACAAAATTAATTAGTTGGAGTTGGGCAGAAGATCTCGAGAAAATTATGAGAAAACGGACTGGATCAAAGGGGTAAGGAGAAAATCTTAAACTATCTGCAATTAACTGAATCAGCCAATCAAATGAAGGTCGCCATTTGATTGGTTAACTTGGTTTAGAAGGTGAAACTTGAGTAAAATATTAAGGCCGATGCATTCAAAAGGTCAAAGGAGCGTTTAAATAAAACAAATGATGATCAAACAGGGTTCATCAGAAACATCCTTTTACTATAAAGGAGTTTTAGGGTAGCTATTGAGCCACCGAAATGAACAGTTCAACCACTGCTTGACAAATAAAACTAAGAAATATCATTTTCTTCTGATAAACCTGTTTGCAGCACGAATTCGTGCGAATGATAAGGAACACCTGTCACATATGAGTGATGGCAGGCTCAGGTAGGAAAATCGAGGCTGTCATTCTGATTGGAAATTAACCACGAGGCGTTCGAGGTTGAATGATCTTTGTTTTATTAGATCTTGAAAGCAACCAGCGAAATTGATTGAAACATTCACCCACTTGACGTCATCGTAGCCGTCCGACAATGTTGAACATTAACCAAGACAAGTCGTTTGTACTTGGACAAAGAAAATTCGCCATTATCTGCCACATTTACGAAAAGTACATAACTGCAAAATTTATAACCAACAACCAAGATGTGTGTTTAAGGCGGCGGAAAATAATATATCTAAAGAATGGAAAAAGGAAATCAGGAATCATCAAGGTGAGAGAGAACAAACTGCAACCCTTGAACCTTCTCAAATGCCTGAAAAACGCTTCCGATCACTATTTTAGAAGTTTCAACCTTTGTGATTGACTCTGCAAACTCCGGACCTTGGGACTTCGCTCACTCCCTCCTGATTGGCTGAGAACAGGTCCAAGGTCAATCAGTTGCAATAATTATGTGGGTGGCTCAGACTCCGACCCAAGCGGTTTTTGCTACTTGGCTGTCGGGTTTGTAAGCGCTCATAGTGCTTTCGCCTGCTCACTCATGCACGTTGGCCAATCGAGACATTTGTCCTGAAGTCCTGTCCTCTGATTGTCCGGTCGGGAGGACGATAGAACCCAGGCCACTAACGCATAAACCTCGGTTTATAGTGCATGCTTGGCCAATCTTTTGACTTACAAAAAGTGGCAAGAAATTCATAAGTGAAACTGTAAGTGGATGGAGAGAAAAATGAGGCCAGCTCAAATCTATTTAGTGGATGTATTGACACCATGTAAAGGGTTGCCCACTTAATTTACAGCTTGGGGTTGAACAATACAAAAAAACGTCAAGTTTATGGGAAGAAGTCTTCAATGCTGATTGGTACAAATGCAACACTTTCTAAACGAAATAGCAGTCCATCTTCACGAACGCACACTTTCTCTCTTTGGTTAATTGCGAAGGTGTTGATATGTATGGCAGAATGGAGGATGGTGTTGACAGCCGTTCGGCCAATTGGAGGAGAGGATTAGGCACAAATGCTGCCCGATTGGGTGGCGTAGCAGTTGTCCTCAACCACCCGACAAGCATCTATGAGACGATGCAGAAAGAGTGATCGGTAGGCTGATGTGACATCACTGATGCGAGTGGCATAGACGAGAATGAGGTAGAATCGTGGTGATCCATCTCCATAGACGAAGGGAAGTTGAACGTTCAACGACGTGTCGTTAATTCCTGTTCTGAATCGTTGGAAGTGGATCTGTGTTTGGCGACCCAGAAAACTCACCAAAGACCTATTTGAGTACTCGCAGTAGTTAATCTAAAGGAAAAAATAATTTACTTTGTTCCATTTTGCTTAATGCCTAGGACTATTCAACATTTAAAAGTGAACTAGTCCGACTGGCAATTCGCTGAAATAAAAACATCTTCACTACACCACGTCCAAACGCCTTTTAAAGTGCCCCCGAAGTAAAAAGCCTTTTATCTACTTTACTAATTTGGACTTAATCAATCTGCTTGCGAAACCCATTTGATACAAATGGCTGCAAAAACTAATAAGAAACACGTGTCACATATTTGTGACATCAGATTTAGGTAAAAAAAACATAAATACGCAGCTGCTAGTGTAGGTTTTTCAAGTCCTCAGCTTTATTAAAGGAATTCCAAGGGTTCTGAAAGTAACTAGGCGATGGCGATTCTAAGGCCCACCACCACAATCGTCATTCCCGTAAACATTTAGCCATCACTTGGAACATCAATCGGATTCTGGTCTCCTGATCAACGCATAAATCGTCCTCTGACGACTTCACACGAGAGAAAACCGGCTCCGTGACAGACGTTGTATGCAGACCAGTCACGTATACACACAATTTCGTAAAGTTAGTGCACGGCATTCATCACAACAAACCACGCAAAGCAAGTTGTTTTAGGCTAATGTGGTCGTCCTAATGAATGCTCCTGTATCGAGACAGGTATGCGAATGTAGCAGGATATTATTACGCATTGAATGCTGTACTTTTTCTGCCTCATGCACATGCATAGATAATTGAGAGTAAAATTTATGTTTCAACTAATAAAGATTTTCACATACTCTTTTCGCGATTCCTGCAAGCGTGGCATTTCGATTGTGGACCATGCTAGCCTCTGGTACAGAGAGAGTCGTTATCCAGTAGAAATGTGGCAGCGGGCTAACCGCCACTCTCATGATGATTTGATGCATTTTGCATTGGGGTGTAAATTCCACTGGATAGTTATCGTCATCCAGTTCCTGTAGATCTCCAGCACTCCTTGGAGTCTTGGAGCCATCTGAGGGAATGCGCTCGATAAGTTTACCGGAGTCCCAAATGATTGAGCTCTTGTATTATATGAAACTAACCTGTAGACCAAGGACGCATGGGGAGAGAGTCCTTTGCAGTAACATTTAGGAAGAAAAGACGGGCGGCCTTCCCACCCCGAGACAGAAAACCTCCAACAGTTTCATTTAAAGATGAAAGTCGGATCAGAATTGGCCCACCATCACTGTTGAAGTGTTTTGTCATCGACGACAAATCCAGGAGAGGTCTGTTGCGAATGAGAGTTGATACGATTGGCTGATCGTTTTTATGCTTCCCAAGCTCTTTTCTCAAGAGAGGTAAAATTAAGTCCAAAGTTAATGCAGAACCCGATCTCCATTCAAGTGATGCATTCAAAGGCCACTACCTACAACCCTGGTACTCTTGGGTTGTGACCGCAATCGTACTTGTAGAGTTATTAGTAAACATTTCTAAGTGTATTTTTAATTAAACAGGTACGGTCTTTACTTAAAAATGCGGGCATTAATCGGATTTGCATCAATGATTTAATCAAAAGTGAGTAAATCCCGCATCACTTAATTGGTCGACATTTGTGGATGACTTAATATGGGAATATAATCGTGATTAATAAATAAACTTACTGTTGAAACAACTCCAGATTGAACAAAAATTCCTGATCACGAGGCCGCTGACATGGTTGAAGGAACATGGCGACATTATGAAAATTTCGGGGCCAATCGAAGACAATATCATTGAGCCAGTGAAGGATGTAGGTCACAGGTCGCAGTTTCACCCACACGCGTGTGACTGGTCGACGGTGTAAGCAGAGAGGGAGGCTATGCATAACCAGAGGTGCGAATGAGCTGCTCAACTTCGTGGAACTGTTGATGGCGTAGACGTTGATGTAGAGTTTGTGGCCTTCTGCTTGCCATCGTGATAGTCGAGCGGGTAACCTTAACTTCACAACACGTAAAGAAGAACAAAGAACAGACAAAAAAGATCTGACCTGTAAAACTCTTATCAGCCTGTAATTCTAGCCTAGAACTAATTCATGGTCACCCGAGTATTTGATCTACTTTAACAAGTCCGCTATCACAGTCACAAATGTGTGACATGGGTTCTTTCACCGGGAATTAGAGCGGTAGTTTTTTCACAAATGCTATCATAAAGGGGTCAGAAATGGCTGATTATGCACCTAAATGCTACGATTTACATCAATGACATCTATAGAAATAAATTTAACCCCTAATAAACAGTCAAATAGTACAGTAAATCCACTGTTCCCTCTGGAAAAAATGAGCCATTCAGATTGCTTTTATTTCCATTTTTGTATTTGAGAAGGTAAAACCGAAAGGTGTACAGACTTTTTTCGGTGTTTTGGAGTGCAAATAATCCACATGCCTTTAAAAAGTGGATTTTGGAATATTTTTCAGATTTCAATGAAAGAAACGCTACCAACACGTTAAGTGACAAAGAGAGGTAGAAGCGCTTAGTAGCAGATCATATGGCCTTTGGACCCATTCAAGCAGGGCCTTTTAGGGGCACAAAGAAGCCAGTCACCTAAGCGGCTTAAGATGTGGCCAAAATGTGAAATACTGATGGTTTGAGAGAAGCTGCAGAGGAAGAAAATACAGCAGGGTGTTTCGATAATGTTATATCCCCAAAGGCCGGTGAATCCTTTGATACAAATAACCAAAGCATTTAATGCACTACTCGCAGGTATAAAATAAAACCACATCTTCGAAATCTAGACGTTGGTTTTCCTATGAGACCGATAAGAGCTCCATGCTTGAAACACACTTTCACATAGTGGATTTCTCCCCCCATTAAAATTAACTATTCCTCTACAATGAACTGGATTTATTTTGTGGAAGTGACAGCCGACTGAAGTACCTTCAAACCCATTAATCCCAATTCACCACCTAACTAGAACTGACTTAAAGACTCCAAATTTTTGGGTGGAGAAAGAAAGCTTAGAGCTACCTACCTGTAAGTAATTCACTTTGGTGCATTGGTAGATAAGATTCACCGCTTGTACATCCTTTCTGTTACTGAGCATCGCCTGGAGAGAGCATTGATGTACCAGACTCCTTTCACTGTTCACCGCCACACAGTAGTCCATTAAGCTGTCTTCGTTAATGGCCGGCGGCCAACGGATATTGAGGTAGTCAGTGCTAGAAAAGGCCAAAATACGATAATGACTTGGTGATTTGAAAGGTCCAGTGGTAATTTGTCAACACGTCCAAGTAATTTAGCCTGAATTAGTGTCACGCTCTTAAATTCAGGTTCCAAATTTGCGTTCCGGCTAAATTATCACTCAGGTGAATGCTGAAACTTTCCAGAAATAGTCAGTAAATATCAAGGAGAAATAAGCAAGTCAGCTACTCCTCCTTGAAAGGTTTACGACCCTCTTAAATTTGCCAAATTGTAGACTAGACTACCTATAGGCATTGATAAGTTTGAAAATGTCATAATGGAAGCCAATTTTAAACCATCAACTTCGGCAAGGTTGACAGCAGTTACTATTTCACGAACGATGTGAATTCATCATAAGCAAGTTGACTAACCAAAAGGAGTTAAAAAGCACTCTTTACAATTAGTCTAACCAGCTCCGGATTACTCTTCAAGTCCGCATCTGTCATCCTTCAACTACCGAGGTTTCGTACTATTTTCTGGTTTGAAATAGAATATTAATTTAGTAAACGAAAATGACGTGCACCTATTGATGGTAACTCGACAAACATCGACGAGCGAAGCCTTTGACGATTGAGGAAGAGAAGGATACCCTTGGAAGGGTTGATATCGAAATGTCCTCTTCGCGCTCCAACGAACCTTGAAGGTAGTTCCAGGACGAGCGTAGAGCGTCACCACAAGAGTATCCCCGGATGCCCCCCAGCTGGAAAAGTGGAGTCGAGCCATCCCGGATCCCTTCATCCAGTTGGGTCCTTTTAAGACCTTGTGCAGTTCCAGATCCCCGTCTAGGAGCAGGGCTTCTACTCGTAGGGGTGGACGATACCAAAATCTTCCGCCGTGGCTAGGGGAGATTTCAGCTAGGAAATGTTACACAACCCATCAAGTTCAGCCCTCATTAAATGGTATATATTCATTTCATTTCGACATGAGATGACTTGCTGGTGAACTCAAAAATGGTTAGATGTATAACTTTTTTAAGGTCTTATCCTAGTACCACCTCTATCGGAGAAAAGCAAGCATTTGGCTATACAGCTTTTACTCGCACTTGAGTAGCACCGCTTACTTGATCTTCGCGAACGGGAGGTCCATGCAGAGAAGACAGAACGATCGCTTAGCCAACCGTCTTTAGCCGAATTGATGGAATGGAAGTGTATTCCATCCAATGGACCTGTGCATGGTGTAATTGTGAAACCAAATTGTTGATTCTTTCCGATGAGGTAGGAGAGGCTGAACAAAGTAAACAATTAGTAAGTCCTTAAAACTGGGAGAATAACAGGATTGAGCTTGTTAACAGAACGGCGCACTGTTCGACCGGCTACAGAGCAGATGATTCCTAGTGCATGCGAAATCCATGGATGGGTGGTCAGTTCTGGCCTCCTGACATACTTTCATACGCCTCACTTATAAATTGATGCTGAATGAGTTGGTTGGCATAAGGGAACCTTTTATAACTGAGAAGACAAGATGTTCTGGATGATGAATGCGAATGAGTGGTCCAAATTCCTACTCATTTACTGTGAGTAAACTAACAGTAAACTACCATATTTGCATGCAGCCCGTACAACAATCCACTGGTATAACTTTCTTTCGTCTTTTAGTGGACTGCATAAGAATCCAAATAATTGACATTATGGGTCCACAATTTATTAGGACTATCGAAACAGGAAAACCAGACGGTTCAGTAGACTTTGCAACTGAGCAAAAAAGTGCGACAATTTGGAGATGAGTCAAATTTTCGTGTTGTTAATGCCTACATGCTTATCAGTGGCCAATGCTGTCCTCGCTTTTACATTGGACAAGGGGATTTCAGACCACACGGTTAAAAAAGTGATAAATTTGTAAATTTCTAAAAATCTCTTTTTTAAAAAAATGTCTCTAGAAATCAAGCTTTTGCTTAGGATCTGTCTTGCAGACTTTGGAATACAGTAAAATAGTCATGGTTGCTAAGACATCAGCAAGGTTGGCTTCATCATGCACAAAGCGTCGGTAGTCGTTTGTTTCGGCCTAATGTTTATGCACTTTCCACGGTTTGAAGATTATTTACGAGCCTCGGCGACAAAGTGCAGTTGGAGGCAGAATCCACAGCGCCTCCGTCCTCTGACTAGTTCGGCCAAATTTATGGTGCTGCCCGGTGCATATGATGCCTAGCCATCGCAGTAGGCTCTAGTACATAACAATTACAGAACAAATGATTTACTAACCATTTGTGGGAATCGTGAAAAAAGAATCCCGAAGCATTTTGAAGATAAGTGAAGTCATTGCAGTATTGCTGCTTATCGAGATGCGGGAACAACTAAACAATGCCTTTAAACGAAACCTATTTTACAGACGAAGGGTTGTAATTCCCGCTCTCGAATTTTAAAAAATTCAAGATTCTAAAAAGGTGAAACAATTTCGGTAGGAAGTAAAACCCGCCTACCAATACTAAGGGTCAGGGAGCAATTATGAAATCGGGGACACCTTAGATGGATCATGTGGAATGTGCAGGATACGCTGATAAAGATTTCAATAAAAACAATTTTGCATTCACTCTCTCCCCCGTTTCTTCTTCCCTTTGTAAAGCCACGCAAAGAATCTCCAACCTTAGCCTAAACATTTACTAACAATCAAAAAGTGTTTATGCTTAAAAATGGGCAGATTTACTTAACTGAGTTTTGAAATCCTTTTACCCGCCTAAGTCTGTTCGATTTGGCATAAAGTAAAATCGTCTTAAGCTCAACCAGTTTTAACAGGAAGTAATATTAACATTCACCGGTACTGGGTGTGCCACGGCTGATGAATCCAGCCAGAGAATGTGAATGGCAGGCTCATTTTAAACGCATAAATACACATGGTAAAATAATTGACCTACCTCTTGTTACTCGAACCCGATGGAATGCTTACACTTAGTTCCACCTTGTCCAAAAAACTGGCAACAAGTTTGTCATTTTCTAACAGGGCATTCCCAATTTGTTGCAGATCATGATCGCTCCAGGGTTTGCGTCGATCCTCAATTACTGCCGCCTCTGTGGGATAGTGCGGTGAAAAGAGGAGGTGGGGGAGGATAAGTAGAAAGAGGTAGGTGTTGGGTGACATGAGGACAGAAAAGGAAGGGTCTAAGAATGGCCAGAAAGCAGTGCGTACTGCTTAAATAGCTCCCTACTGACGTGCTTCGGTGCGGATGTGCGCGCTTGCGTGCGTGTGTACAAGCTGCAGTGCCACGACATTCCATAGCGGGACCCTGGAGAGTGACGATGAAAGCGGCGATGCGGAAAGTAGACAGTGGGACGTTAGAAGGGACTTGTGAAAAGTAAACACACACAGGAATGTAAAATGATGTGCCGCCAGCGGCAGGAAGACGAAAACATGGATCTTGAGCGGCGACTCACAGCCGTCAGTTATGCTCTCATGTGCAACTGAGGCCTCCAGGGCCTAATTTACGTAGACACCTCAAACAGGGGCTATCAGTCAAGATGCGCACATAGGCTTGCAACGTGATTAATAGCATTAGCCCTGTGTAGCCAAACCAGTCTGATACAATTTCTTAAAGTGAGCCAGATGGCTAAAGCCAAACAACGAAACTGTAGCGGTTGATATCACTAGAATGTAGAACCTTTACCATGACTTTTTATAGTAAGGACAATCATAACATTCCATTATCTATTTCATTCTAATATACATTCAGCCACGGAGCCTTTTTGGCCTCCAGCGCTGCTTGAGGTGTTCCACTTCCATTTCTGGTGCAGTTTGAAATGCTGATCCTCATTGTATGCATTAAATTTTAGGTCCGATCACTGACACGGTTCAACAATTTAATTTGCCGAAGTTCGTCACCTAATACTTCGTCAACTGGCATATCTAAGGAGAAAATGCAATTTTCTCCCTGAAATAATGTACTCTACAACTACTCCAAAATGCTTTGGTTTGGGGAACCTTAGAAATTGTTAATAATCCGAAATTCTATTTAGAGAGAATTAATAATGAGTATTGAGAGACATTAAGTTTCTAATTTATTAACCAAAATATCTGGTTATTTTGTAGTTCGCAGAATAAATGCATCCGAGAGGAAGAAATAAAAATATAGACAAAATTTGTACTTTCCTCTTTCGAAATGGAAACTAGTTCTCGGTGAAATGCATTGAAAATTACGAAATCTAACAGAAATAATATTTTCCAACGTATTTGTCCGGCACTTGGTGCCTGCATTCAGGATGAATGAATTGGCAGTTTGTTTCTAGTCACTCAAGTATGGATTAGGAAGTTGTGGCTTTATATTTGAAAAGTTATATAAAGTACATTTGATATCAGTGTCCCAAATATGTGGTTGATTCTGCTATTCAGGCATGCACTTCACCCACACATACGGAGGCCTAAAAGTCAAAAGATAAAAAGAAAGTAAAACGAAGCCATTTAGGGGCAACAGAACTGATTCACCTCAGAGACAGATCCTATTAATAAACGTATTAATTAACAAGATGTCAATGCCGGCGACTAAAAAAATAAACGCAAAAAAGTTAATTCGATCTCAAAAAAGGAATAAAGAGATGGTAAGTTTGGCTTTATGCTGAGCTGCTGTAAAAAGGTGCTACTCCACTTCCTGAAAACTTTAAAACCCAAATGAAAGTAATTTGACCAAGGTGCGGCGATGCATTTGGCCTTCACGTATTGCTAAATTTTGTTTTCGTTGATGTTGTTGTTGTTCTCACTTTTCCACACATGCTTGCGTGAGTCTCGAAGGTGTGACATGCATTTGGGAGTGTTTACTGGGTGACTGTGTAAAATGTGATGAGGAATGACTTTAATGTTGTGTCGCCACATTCGTGAGGCAAATGAGCATTACTGATTCTGCACTTCTGAGGCACCATTCTCCGTTTCAAAGAGTGTGTTAAGCAGCAAAAAGGGAACTTACCACCAGGACCTGATCACTCACCTAAGGCCAAGCAACACATTCTGGCCTCATTGAGAATTGTCTAGTGAAATGCACTCCTTGCGATTTTAACTACTTAGATACTGCGGGAAATTTTCGCAATCGTTTAATTTTTGGTAGGACAAGTGTGCCAACTCGTTTGGCCACCATATGAAACCGGAACAGTTGCTAAAACTCGCGAGTGCTGCTCCCTTTCATTAAATATAAATAAACCACCTTAACAAGACTTTTTCTTAAATTACTCTTTCCATTTACCACTAGTGTAGATAAGAGAATCACTATAATTTAAGGCATAACGGCCAAATATGAGCGAAATTTATTTGTGTCATTTCTTAATTGTGAAAGTATTTAGCGGTGCTAACGTAAGTATTAGTACGGTATTCCTGGAAGCTGTTTCACTTTACACCCATCCAATTTGACGTGGCGGTCTTCTACAAAGGTAGAGCGAACGGGCAACAGCTCGAGGCATTTCAATAACTACACATTCCTTCGAGTATTTGCAGATATTTTTGTAAATGTATGCAATGTCTGTGATATACTGTCAACGAAAATGTCATTCCGCCGTTATGACTTGTGTTCTGTTATACTGGAAATCACCAATTCCCTTCCTCTATCCCTGTTATTTTACTCGATTTTTTTAGGAATAGAATCTGAAAATCAGGTGCTGAGCAGAGACGAAGTTGCCATTTTTTCCCAAAATTTAAATTCCTGTCATTGAGAAAAGTTTCTTAATGATTTTGAGGTAAAACAGTTAATTTAGGGACCGATTTTGATGGTCAAATGAATTGCCCCGAATGATCTGGAACTTTCAGAGAGTGGTAATGTGTTTTTGAGATATAATGATGTGGTTGCGGCTGAGCCTACTAATGATGAAATTCACTGTGACATCCCAGAAAAGATAGTTTTACTAAATTTCATTTCCTTCTCTTCAGACCATAAACATCCGCTCCCTGCACACGATTAGGTGTCACTGATAAAGAAACAAGTTTGACGTCTGCGACATTGATAGAGGATGCTGTAACTAGATCTTTTATAAGAGAGGATAATTCCGTTGATCATACGATGCGTTATGCATTTCAATATGGTAGGAACCTTTCATTTTTTTACAGGTTACTTTTAGAAAGAAGGAATATAAAGTTGACTAGGGTCAGACTGATATTGTTGTGTGAAAATTGGTGTCACTACCCCCTTTATAATAACCAAAAGGTATAACAACAGCCAGACTTTGGCTACTGCGCCTTACCTTTTGCAATACTTATATACTCCCAGAAATATTATTATTCACTCACCCTTGTCGTGGCTCCTCCTATTTGTTTAAATGAATCATATCGGGGCGAAACTTGATGGAGGACTCTCGGACTCCATTATCACAGACTTCCGTGCTAGTAACGAATATCACGATCAGAATGCCGTCACCTTAGTCCAAACTTTCAAAGCTTAATTACCTTGATACAGAATGGCCAATGAGAACCTACTTAAGCAAGAACTACCAAGTCATTATTTGCGGCTTAGGTAGATGAAGAGACGGTTTTGACCAGCTGTCTTCGAAAAACCTCCTCTATTTAACAAATTGTGCAATTAGAAGTGACAAATAAATTGCGTGCATTCCATTATTCTGATATTCTTTTGAGTTTACTCTTACTTAATCCGTCAGTACTACATTTATATGACTCTGCTTTTCTCCTCTTCCCATAAGTCACACATTTGACATGCAGTCTTCACTTTATGATGAATGAATAAACTGAACTGTAAACAAAGTAATGTAAGATCGTCTTGGCCTGAGGATAGTCCTATTTTTTTCCCTTTTTTGCCAAATTAGACAAACAGAACACATCTGCAATTTTTCCTTTTACACTAGCAATGACTCCATTTATTTGTCTTAAACTTGCTTGCAAATGTATAATTCAAAATAAACTTCACAATTCCTTCAGAGTGGCAACGGAAACCATTTTGGTAAAGAAAACTGTATTTTTATTAATGCTAAATGCCGATATTTGAGCGATAGGGCAGCTGGACGCCTTTATCTTCCCAACTTTTTTGCTAGTTATGTCGAGTATAACTTGCCAGAGGTCCATATTTGCTTACTTATTAAATTGTTCACACTTGAAGCACTTTACATAATTCCTATTAACCAGTAATGATTCCTCAATCAGTAATGAACCCTCAGCACAAAGTTGAGGGCACACCCGAATTTGGCAAGTAGCATACAAGGACTACTAGAGGTTGTTATAACGCCCTATTTTCTGGCACAAGCCTTGTATTACTAAAATAACAATCATACCTGAATTGAGATGAGAGAAAACCATTTACAGTGCGTAAAGAATGCGTTTATCAAGGGACTTTTGAGTCTTTATTTAGTTGTCGATGCCAAAGGAGCATTGGCATTAATTTCACTGAGAATCAATGAAATTAATGAAGTGGCTTGTGTGGAAATCACGTACTGAATTAGGTGAGGAAGCATTAAAATTCTATCTCAACCGGCCTGCGGAAGAAGGCCTACTGAAGAAGGCGAAAAGATAAAGATCCCAGTAATTCAGTT